CTTCAGGCGCGTGCGTCCTGGCTGGCTTGCAGCACCTATTCTGTTGAGACAAAACGGTAGAGTTAGGAAAGATACTTCATGGAACATGACGGATATTCCAGCCGGTCCACCTTGCTTCATGTCTGATCCTGGGATGCATCCGGTGCAGCCGTGACGCTACGGATTTTTGGCGCAGGGTGGGGGTGAACCTTCCTGCAGTGGATGCCCTTGCCTTGGATGCTGCCCTTATTTTGACGGGTTTCGTCGGTCCGGCTCACACCCAAGCAGTCGAATAATTTTCCGTGCTGCCTTGAACTGCAATGCAGTCAACATTGGTCTGCAATGCCAACACCGGTGTGCTCTTAGGACGCTCCCATATCGACTTCTAAGTTGATGACGACCTTGAACGAGGCCGCCACAAGCCATCAGTCAGCAAACTTTCTGGCCCCTATGCAAAAACTGGAGCCATGCATGTGAGCTGTCAGGTGATGGCGAGAGGGCTGAACTTGATGAGGCGCGAGGTGACAACGTCCGGATTGGCGCAGTATTTGTGGCGCTCGGGCCGTTGTTTGCTCTTCCACCGTGAGCTTCATCAGTCTGGGCGACTTGCAATCAGCTGGAGCTGAAAATCTGGAGGCTGGGACTCATCGCTGCGCCAGTGCTTGTTCAGTGCAAGGCCCTCAGAGCGGAGGCGACGCGTTCGTTCAAGTTCTCCTTGTTGGGCAAGGTTCCAAGGGAGAACAACAGGACCCATGTTTGGGAGGAGTGGTCCACCACAACCCGAATTTACCTTGAAGTCCTTGGAGTCAATTGCACATGACTCTGTGAACGTCTGGATCAAACCGGAATAGGGTGCTCCCCGATCTGGATCAAGATGTCGCTCACTCCAGAGGCTTCTTCATGCACAGCGTGGGCATCGTCAGCTGGCGAGAAGCTCAGGCTCTGGGACTTCAGGTCGGATCGAAAGCCAGAGAGGGCCAGGGCCCACCGAGGGCCAGGGAAAACTAAGCGCCACCAGGAGCTGGATCTTTGCAAACAAGCTACAAGTTTTTTGTGTCCCGGGCCGAGTTGAGCTTCTTGCCTTGTCAGCTCTCCAAAGACCGCGCCTGTCAATCTGCTGTCGGGAGGCTCTTTCGATTGCTGGTGGTGTACCTCATCATGGGCTTTGTTTGGCGGCGCCGGCCTGTGTCGACGCGTTTGAGCGCATGCTGTTGGCGACTTGTGACGAAAAGAACCCCAGATCTAGCTGCCGCATGGCTTCAGCACACTACAAGCCAAGCCCAGAAAATGATGAGCCGTCAATGGTCCTTGCGTGTAGCTGCGGCTGTGAGCTTCGATGCTGCCAGCTTTGTGTCCGTGCCCGAGCAGCTCTACAACGGGCCAGGCGGCTCAGAAATCTGGGAGCTTGGCTTGAGCCCTGCAGAGCGGTCACGGCAGGGGAGCAACCATCCCATCGTCCACATCGCGCCAAGGATGGGTCTTGGCATGTTCCGCTGGGCCTTCGAGATCTTCTACCCCGAGGCGCCTGAGGGAGCGCTTAAGGACTCTGCAGGTAATCACTTTCTGGGCCGTAGCCAAGGACGCTGCTGCTCCCTTCCCCTTTCGTGTTCATGTCGCAGGGAGAATCATGACTGTGCCGCCAGCTTCGCAAGCTTTTTGTCGAGCCGTTTTCCTTTTGGTCTGGGCATTGGTCGCGCTTTCACGCCCGGGTCGTTTGGGGCACCCGGCCATCGCAGATTGCCCGGGCCAACGGGAGCCTCCAAGCGCCAGCGGAGCGGAGCGTGCCCCGCGTCGCGGGCTGCAGGACCGGGCCACGGGACCTGCATTGTGGGACCAGGGACCCCGAAGGGGGGGGGGGGGGGGGGAGCGAGGCAAAGGACATTTTTAAAATGTTTAAACCAAATTTTCCTTCAGCGCAATCCCATCTGCAGTGCCACCTTCAGCGCCTTGGAGCACGACCCTTGCCCCAGGATCGACAAGCTGGCAGGTCAGCGCGCGAAGCTGAGGCTGGGTTTTTGGAGTCTGGGGCGGGAGGATTGCGCATCCCCCCCACTTCTTTTCCAATGAGAATCGGGGCAACGTGGAGTCTTTGAGGTTGGCCTGCATACTATACTTGAAGCCCATGTACTCTGGGCTTTATATATCATCATATATCCATTGGCGGTACATCTTTGTGGAGTCCTTGCCGCAGGCCGCACATCTTGTGTGGCGCACATGAAGGACTCGAACACTTCAGGGATAGCGCGAAATGCACGAGCGGTTCTCTGAGGATAGCGCGATCCCAGGCTGCCAAGTTACACTAGCGGATCTCGCGAATGCCAGGCCTTCAGAAACACGAGTTTTGCCAAAAGCGCTAAATGGACGAGTCAAATTTGGATGTGGGCAAGCTGAGCACTAGGTGATTTGGTCTTCTTCTGTGGCGTGGCTTGGGGTGGCGGCTGTGACAGAGTGGGCTGTCTGCCAGGTGGCATGGGTCAACAAGATTCTTGTGCCTCACTCCAGACGCTCGGGCCCTAAGCTCGAAGCATTGATATGCCGTTGCTATCCTTGGTGATGCAATCCTCAATTGGGGCAACGAAGGACCGTGTCAGGTGGAAGGAAGCTAGAGACGGTCCTGTAGAAGCCAACAGTTAGCGGAAGCAGACCGATTTTGCATTAGGATGAATCATCCGCATTCCTTTGTGAGCTTTGCGAGCTCTGCGTGCCCCCCACAAAGGGACCCGAACATGGTTCTTCAGGTTTCGCTGTGAAGGTCATCCTAAAGGTGTGCACTTTTCAGGTTTTAGGAAGCAGCCCTGTGAGCTCTTACTCTTTGCTTAGGGCTGGGCTGTAACTGGGGATGAGAAACACGCCTGCGCCTTTGAGCTGCAGAACGCCGGGGCCCTGGCTTGGGTAGAAGCGGCTCAAGTCACGTGCTGCATGCTCATTTTTGCCATGGTCAAAAGACCTGCTTACACGGGATGTTTGGGGCATGTCATGGATCCTTTCAGAGGGGTTCCAGACAACCTTAAGGATTCCTATTAGGAAAGCCATGACAACAGGCTACGGATTGGCAGCGATTGAGATTAAGCGCTGAATGCTCAGGCTTCTTTGCCACGGTTTTTGGGTTTGGGAGTTGCTGGGCTAGTGGTTTGGTGCGGTGTGTGTTAAAGCTCAGCGGCCATGTGTTCGGGGATGGCCAGGTCTATTGGCGTGACAAACAGGTCCCTGATACGTGCTCCAGCGCGATCTGATCGCTTCTGACTACCGAGCATTCAAAATTCCTTTTTCACTACTTGCACTACTTGGGGAATCATGCGTTCCAACGATCTCGGATCTCTAAAGTGTTTCCATCAGTTTGGCCAAAACAGCTGTGGTTTCTCCGCGCTTTGGCGAGGTACTCATGACTCATTGCCTGGTTAGTAGATCAAAGCAACGTGTTCTTGAAGCAAGCTCGTGTGAGTGCCGTTTGGGGTGCCCTGAAAACCAGCCTCTGAGGGTATTGAAAGGGAACCAAAAGGAAGCAACTCTATAACTCTTTTCTGGCGCAATCCGTAACCGAAAGGTTACTTGAGCTGAGCTTTCGTGACACGCTTTCTCGCCAGATAACTCAGAGGGCCTCAGTGCTCTGAGAGGTACCGATTGCGGGTCATGGACGACTCATCAGACTTCAGCCAGTGCTGGTTGTCCTTCAAGGCACTTGGGTCGGGGAAGTCATGCGTATCTGGGAATGTGTTGGCTGACACATCCTGCTGATTTTGTGTAAACGTGATCGAACTTGGTCGTGCTTGTCAGCCTCAATCCAACACACATCCGACACATCAGTCGAAGATTGCGAGGGGACCCCCGAAAAAAACTGGATAGCGTGACAGAGACACCTCTTCAGGCAACTTGTTTCTCCCCTTTAGCGGGGCCAGCTGGCTGGACTAAAGACTTGCGAGGCTTCTCAGGCAATTTGTCGTCTGAGTTTGACTGCTCAGCCCGTCAACCATCTCCGCTTTGGTGGCTGGCTGGCGGCCTACGAAGACGAGAGCAAGGCGAGCCCCTACAAGGCGCGAGGCCTTCCAAAGCCAAAGCCGTTCGTCAAATATGAGCCTCGCCGGTGCGACAAACAGCTCGATAGCATGACACACACTGTACCTGACACAAAGCAATTCCAAGAGTCCCAGGCGCTTGCGAGTGACTCATTGTTGTGGGAGGCAACTGTCCTGAACTCCTTTGCGACTTCCAGGGCTCTTCAAGCCCAATATGAAACATGAGCTGCCCGTGAGGTTGTCTTCGACAGCTCCTGTCCTCCAGATGCCTGCAAGCTGCTTTGCGCTCGGCACTGAGTGACATTGAGGCATCTCCATGTCACGACGGCTCTGGGAGCCATTGGATATATAGGGGCCCGACATGTTTGAAATTGCAAGACAGCGTTTAAAAAAAGGTTCCTACAGCGCGCTGATAGCGTCAGGACGCACACGAATGCGCCCGTAGGCCTGGACCGATATGCTGCCTCCCGCACAGAGATCCTGCACAGGCGGGTTGATGGGGGCAAGGGGCGGGTCGGTCTTCAAGCAGCTTTTATGCCCGAATCCCCTGCCTCCGGTATCGTGCCGAAATGCAGTCGAGTGTTTTTTGTTTGGTTCAGATTCCATTTGAGCCGTGCTGCTGGAGGAGCATGGAGTTGGGTGAGCTCGGGTGGCTATGACATGCTATGGTGGGGCTAGCTTGTCTAGGCTACTACGTGGCAGAGCAGATCTGTGGCAATCATTTGCGCCTGCCTCGGAAACTTTAACTCATCTTCCTTTCCCTATCATCGCAGCCCAAGCCAAGCCGCCTGGTCTGGCTCACGCTTGCTGAGGTACGTTGGGCACGGTTCAGACAGAGAGTCGGCCATCCTGGATTTTGTACTGGCCTCAGCTCTGAGAAGCGGCAGGAATGTCAAGATAGCATCCTAGTGAGCAACCAACACATAATTGGTAGCCAGTTATTACTATAGCTTTTCCATGTCCTCTTGGGGACAAATAATAATGTGTGTGGCTCAGGTCTTTGTGTGAGTGGAAGGCATCCGCGCCCTTCTGACATGTTGAAGGTGCTACACGGTCGCACAGCCCTGTACATAGGTGTGAAGTGCAGGCGGACAGCCCGCTGAAGAAAGGTGTGGAGGAGTCAAGTTTGATCCCCAGGAGTCCGCTGGCAGTCGTTTGGAAAGCTTTGCAGGTTCTGGATTCTGGGAGTTTTCTGCTTGAGGGGTCTGATTCGGAGGCATGCTATTTCCGCAGGCCTTTTGGCTTAGATACAAGTGCAGCTCAATGAAGAACTTCTGGCTGCGGCTGTTTGCAGCTGTAACGGTGGAAGCCTCAGCAAGCACCTTGCTCTTTGAAGGCATCCATAGTTTGTAGCCTCGCATGTGTTTCTCTTTTTGTGGCATCCTTGCAGCCTTTCCTTGCTGGTGTCAGCCATATTCAGTGGGTTGTTGCTCCAGCTTTGATGGTTTTCTTTCGATTATTTGCTACTTCAGTGTTCCCTTTGGTGAGAAGTCTGCCGTGTACATGTTTAGCATCTTCATCACCACAGTACATTCGGAACCAAGGGTTGATGGTACCTCATCATGGATCCTTCTCCAATCAGTCCTTCAAATGAAAGGTCTTCAGCAGATGCAGCTAGATCCACTTAGCTGCAGCGTCCGATATTTCCCCTTCTGGTGGAGTTTGAAGCGTCACCTGGGCCAATTCACGCGTGAGTTTTCGGGGTGCTGTAAGGGGAAGCGTCACCTCCCATGCCTGGCCACTCGCCAATGCTTCTCCCATGCTTTCAGTTCGAAATCTTCAGGTTTCCAAATTCTGAGTTGGTGGGGTGTGGGCATCAGCCGCCTTTTCAGCGGAGGTTGCCTCGGCAGTCGCTCCACGGGTCTTGCGCTTAGACAGACTGAGCATGAACATTTGATTTATTTATTGGGGTTTCAGGTGTCCCCTTCAAGCACCACCCGACCCAAAAGGAAACACAAGCTTGAATGGCCCTAAAGGTGATGCTCAAAATCACGGAAGAGGGAAACACATTTTATCTTGGTTAAAAGCCAAAAGGACATTAGAAAAAACAACACAGGAGCATGTGTACAACATGATGCCTCGTCAGAGTAGTTCAGATAGTGCCAAATGTGCCAGAGGAGAACAGAGCCTTGAAGAAATGGTCGTCATTTGCAAGCAGCTGGTCAAGTCTGTTTCCAAGATGCTTTGATGGCTACAATTGTGATTATATCATCATTGTGATTATTGTAATCTTGATCGTCGCAATGGATTTAGACAGGAGTTGTGCCATTTGTTAGGAGCAGCTCAGGCTTCCGGAAGCATGACGGCATGGGGTTCTTCAAAATGCTAACGGATGAGCCAGTCATGGAGAGAGCGGCCCCCTCTTTTCACGCGTCGCAGCTGGCTCAAAGCCTGAATGCGTGGCAGTTACTGTGTCACTTAGCTTCCAGCCTCCCCAGATTCAAACCAACCAGCATGGCAGCTGCTTTTCAGTGTTTGTTTTCTCGTCACCAGACCTGAGATCTCGCTCCCAGCTTACAGCTTCACACTTGGGCAACACCTGGTCGTATCCAACCTGGCCAAACGCAGACAGCATGACGCGGAAGGCGGGGGACCCAGCCAGCGACATGACAGGTTGACATGTTTCGTTTGCCAGCGCTTGACAGCTGGACATTGTGAGCTCTGTTCTGGCACTGCTCGAGTCGGGCAGAGTCCCTTTTCCCTGTCGCCTTTTCTGGTTGAACACAAATCAAGACATTCCAAGTGCTGAGCAATGCAGCACTTGAGGCATGCTTCACTTGAGGTGCTTGCCGGCTTTCCAAGACATGGCTGTTTGCAATGGGTCCCTTGTCCGGCCCTACGGACAGGTCCCTCGGCAATTCTGCTGTTGTCATCTTTACTGTGGATGCTGCATTGTGGCGTTTCTGTTTCAGCTTAGACACGTGGGGCGGAGGATGCCATCGCCGCCCCATACTTCTTTTTCCCATCAAGGATGGATGCCTTTGAAGTCGCCCCTTCCCAAACATGACTGCTCTTCGCTAGCTTTGTCAAGCAAAGGCCCACTCCAGCACCAACAAGTGACACGTAATCGCATTCAATATGGTCAATCCCCGCCATAAATGGATGGTTCCGCCTTTTCAAGCGTAAATATGGTTCACCATAAATGTGGTTCACCATAAATTGGTGCCGCCACAAATCAACTGTACATGGTTCTGGGGTTACGACCGTTTTCGTAGCGATGGGTTTTGATTCGACTTCGTGCCGAAGGTGGGCAAGGGCTCCAAGAAGCCCCGGTCCACCGCCAAGCGCTTGGCGCAGAAGGCCCCCACTGCCCGGGGCCCCAGTCAAGGGGAGATGGGCATGTCGCTTTTCGTTGTTTTTCTGGGCTCCAAAGAGGAAATGTGCCGATTCTGGTGGTTCCCCCACTTTGTGACGCAGATGCTGGCTCATAAGGGTGCCAGTGATGGAACTCAGCATCAAAAGAGGGAACCTCAAAATAATCGAAGTCAACCCGCTGCGAATGATCTCAGATGGAATCATTTCCAGAATCTTGCTCTTTGATTCGACCTTGAAGCTTGTTTCCTTGTGGACCACCTTTGCCTTCTGGCAGCCGTACTCATAGTTGGTTGTAGGGCGACCCCAGAGGCACGGCCGGGCTGCGGGCCAAGCTTCCGAGGTGCGACAGCTGCCGGGAGCCTCGGCTCGTTGATGGCTTGGTAGCAGGTTGAAGTGGCCCCATGTTTCACGATGAATCGGTTTGTTGTTCGTTGTTGTTTTTGCGGGCACCGGACAATTTGTTACTCTCGGTCTTTTGTTTGGTCTATCTTTCCCAAGCAATTTGCAGCAACCTCGACTGACAAACAGTCGCGCATGGCAATGTGGGATCCCTTTGCTGGATGGGTTTCGGTCAGCACATCGAGTGCTTTATGGCAACTTTATGGTCAATTTGGGAAGGACGAGGGGGGACACTGTCGCTGTTTCTTTTTGCGACATCCAGGGATTGGCCACTTGACCCATGCCCGCTGCAACAACTAGCTTGCTTGACTGTGGCTCAGACACACACACACACACCCATAGCTGACTACATTACTTGTTGCCAACATCGGTTTGATTCGTTACGGACTCGTTTTGACTCGTTTTGGGCGTCTTCTTTGTTTCCTGGCTTGTGCGCCGCCCTAGAATGCCTTCACTTCAGATGTTGCTGCGTTCTTAGCAAGCCCATTGTGCAGTCTGACTCTCCCATTGCTGTCCGGGCCGATGGCGGAGCCTGCGAAAAGCTTAGGGTCTGCTCTGTCACAGCTAGCCAGGCCATTGGCAGGAAACTCAAAGCCTGGTTTGTCACAGCCGTCACTCTCGCAACTATGATGAATCTTGTTTTATCTTGTTTTATCTCGTTTTATCTGGTGTTGCATGGTTTTCCACACAACTATCTCGTTTTGATCTCGTTAATTTGGAGCGGGGGGGGGGGGGACCATCTCGTTTCACAGCAACATCAGTACTTTCCCCACTCAGCTTCATCTACAGAGATGGATGGCTTCGACTTGCAAAACGCAAATGTATCATTTATGATTCTACATATTGAGCGGCCGACAAATTCACAGACAATTGATGATGTATTGATATGGTCGGAATACCACAAACAATTCAAACCAGACATAGGTGCGGCTGTGCCTTTAGTTCTTTACATGACTTGGGTAGACCCCATCGTTGCGAGGTTCTGATTGTTTGGCCGGACTTTTTGGAGACTCTCTCGGTCGAGGCCCAAGGCAAAGCGCGACTTCACCATAGACGACAGGCCCTCGCAGCGCGTCAAGGGCCGATGCCTCGACTAAAGCCTTCACAGGAACGAGGCACTGCGTGAAAGCCCCCGTGGTTGGGGTCGAAAGGCTAGCTTTTTTGTGGGAGACATGACTACAGATTCGTCCATGATGGAACACGCGCTCAGGAACGGCCTTTTCATGACGGCTTGCGGTTTGCCACACAGAGTGGTGTCCAAAAATTAGGACGACTGGAATGGGAACTCAGAGGCTCCACGTGTATTGCAAAGAACGTGGTTGCAGCGCTGATTCTGCCGGTCCTTGTGTCAGGCAAAACGTACGTCAGTGTGTGAGAGACGGTGCTCTGCCAGTCTGAGTTGGTTCATCACCTCTGAGCTCCAGATAGTTTTTTTTCACCTCCCTCCCATCGTTTTAGTCTGCTTTTGGACTTCTGTTTAGGTGGAGAGGCTAATAGCAGAAACTAGTCCAAATCACCCGTTCCTGTGGGGCTAGCTGCTCGCTGCCTGCCGCAACCTTGGATGGCCAAGGTCCTCAAACGAGCAACATTGCCCTGACAAAGGCCGACGCCATAGAAGTCAATCTCGAAGCCACAGTCTTCACCGAGCCGGTTGCCAGTTGCTTTCCCTGGTCTCGGATGTAATTCTCGATAATTTGTTACGAGACGTTGCAAGGCAACGTGTCCCCAACACCCAACCTCCAAGGCCATAGGCACCGGCAAAGACCAGAGAGGGAGAGTGCGAGAGCGAGAGAGAGGGAGAGAGAGACAGGGCCCCCCTCTAACGATATTTCATCCGGCAAAGACTGCTGTGCAAACAGTTTCCATTGGTTTTTGTGCCTGTGGTAGGCGGTGGGGTTGGTCACTGGGACTTTCCTCCTAGTAAAATGTGCTGGTGGAGTGTCCAGGGCCTATTTTTAACATGCTGCTGTCATTTCCATTGTATCTTCAAGAGGCTTAATGAAGACATGAATCAAGGGTTAGGACTCCTAAGGACTCTATTGCAGGCTTTTGCTGGACCAAATCTTACATGCTGCCTTCGTGGCAGATTTCGAGCTGTCTTCCAGGGCAAGTACGAAGTCATCCCAGGCACTCGTGTCCAACCCGCGCGAGGCATGGGCTGCGGTTGTGAAAGCTATGCCACGTGGAGCTAGCAGAACGGCTCATATTTAACAAGCATCGACAAACAACAAAACATCAAGAACATCTTCAAGTTTGATTGGTTGACGAGCCATTGCTAAAGAACACGTAGACAC